CGGTCGGTAGGTGCTTGGAGTGCCTCGGTCGGTATCGCTGCTTGGAGTGCCTCGGTCGGTATAGGTGCTTGGAGTCCTCAGTCGGTAGGTGCGTGGAGTGGCTCGGTGGGTAGGCGCATGGAGTGGCTCGATCGGTATAGGTGCTGGGAATGGGTCGGTCCGTATAGGTGGTTGAATGGCACGGGCGGTATAGGTGCTTGGAGTGGCTCGATTGGTATAGGTGCTTGAAGTAGCTCGGTCAGTAGGTGCTTGAAGTGGCTCGGTCGGTAGGTGTTTGGAGTGACTCGACACGTAGGCGCTTGGAGTGGTTCGCTCGGTAGGTGCTTGGAGACTTGGAGTGGCTAAGTGGGAAGGTGTATGGAGTGGCTCGGTCATTAGGTGCTTGGAGTGGCTCGGTGGGTAGAGGTTCTTAGAGTGGCTTGGTCGGAAGGTGCCTGGAGTGGCTCGATCGATAGGTGCTTGGAGTGGCTCGATCGGTAGGTGTTTGGAGCGGCTCGATTGGTAGGTGTTTCGAGTGGCTCAATGTATAGGTGCTTGGAGTGTCTCGGGGTTTAGGTGCTTGGAGTGACACACACACACACACACACACATACACACACACACAAACACACACAAACATCTCTCTCTCTCTCTCTCTCTCTCTCTCTCTCTCTCTCTCTCTCTCTCTCTCTCTCTCTCTCTCTCTCTCTCACGTGCGCGCGGGCGTGCATGCTCACCCCCACGCGCAGCTCCTCCTCACAGCTCCCGTCCGCAGTTCCCGCCTGCAACTCCCGCACGCACGCCGTCGCACTTTTTCTTTGTCGGGCCTCTACGGGCGACCAAGAAAACCAACAGGATGTCATGCAGGATTTTGTATGTGAATTCAATAAATCAAATTAATTAATTAATGCAAATCCCTTCCTGTTGTGTGCGTCCGGCTTCGAGCGAGACCCTTCAATTACGGTCTTCGCCGGTCCCCGGTCTTAGGAATCTTTTATTTTGATTCGGAACAGTAGAGAATTATGCAAATAATAACCATAAAATTATGGGGTGCTATGCATGCATCAATTATGGCAATCTGATTTCAAGAACTCTGATAGAGTCAT